TTCTTTCTCATTTATGTTGAACTAAAGAAAAAAAAAATCTCCAGACTCAAGTTACTAAGACCTTTTGTCCTTGTTTGTGTGGGGCTTTTACAACTTAGTAACTTGGATGGACAGTAGGAGGTTGTGAAAATAAAAACCTGATTATGTTCTAATGCTGATGTGTTACTTTGTGGTTCAGAGTCTAGCTGGGGAGAAGCACCTGGCGGGTGGGGCAGGAGCGAGCTCAGGCTGGGGGCTCAGGGTGGGGCTTTGAGCCGTCCCTTATCTCACCTTGCATTCTGAACCTGGCATTCTTTAGAAACTTAACTCCTCTTCACGCTGTGTCCCAGACACCTGCTTGGACTCTACCCCCTCTGCAGGGAGCACTTGTGTTTGCTGAGTGGATGGAAAACAAAATCCTAGGCATGTTCCTTGGGAAGGGGTGGGGGAGTGCCTTGCCAGGGGCCTCCACTGGAATCTTTGTGGGGTGATGGGTCACTCCAACCCAGCCTGGCGACATGGTACCCACCCAAGCACCCACCCAAGCAGCAGAACAGAAAGGGGACTTGACTTTTCCATCCCGGATTCTAGGGTGGCGGGGTAGGATGTCCTGCAGGGTCCTGGCAAGGCTGAGAGAATGAATGGAAGTCTTCTGTAAAGAAAGCTTAGGAATATGGAAACACTGGGTGAGGAGAGGACATAACCTCCCAGTTCTTGGGTGGGCGGGGGTGGGGGGGTGGGGGGAGGAAGGTCTTTGGGACTCAAGTCCAGGCCTTTGGAAGTCCTGAGTCTACCACTAAGTCTACCAAGCGGGCTCTCCAGTCTCTGGAACCCCGGTATATTTGCCATACATGCCGCTTCCCTGAAACTAGCTCCTGGAGAGGGCAGAGTACATCTCCTTGATCCAGGTCTGGAGACTTCTGGGCTCTAGAAAATAGCAATCATGCAGTGGCTTTTCCCCATCCTCCTCCCCTGCCAGGACCCATCTTCCCCAGCCACAAACATAAGAATCCAGGGATGTCTGTGCCTCCCGTGCTGGCCATGGATGAGCTCTCCTGCCTGAGAAAGAGGGCAGGAGGATCTTGCAGCGTTGGTGACTGCCCTGCCCTAATGCCCAGCGTGCCACAAGATCCTCAAACAGAACAGATGTGTAGGAAATACTGGTGTGGGAGAGTTCCTCTCCTTGACTCAAGCCTCCAGCCCCAGCTCGTCCGTCTCAGTCCACCTCCCGTGTCCTCAGATGAGCGCTCCGAGCAGGTCTGGCATGGGGCTGAGGGCAGTTTCTTTATTGCCGCCAAGGCCTGCTCCTTCCCACGACCCTTTGCCAGTGCCATTCATCCAGCAAATATTTGGTGAGTGTCTGTTAGGTACCAGGCCTAGTGCAGGACAGGGCCCTGCCTCTGGCAGACTCATCAGCACATTGGAACATAAATTGTGAAATGGATTGCTAATCACTGAGCAAAATCCACTCCTTCACAGCTGCCAGCACCCCCCACCAGTCAGGGGGTCCGGGGCTGGCACTTGGTGACACGTTCATCAGTGGGCACTCAGGAGATCCCGGAGGAGGAAGAAAGAGAGGGCACACCTGGATGGCGCTGCATCCAGCCAACTGTCCAGGCCCTGAGCACCTGGCCGCTCTAGTAACCGTCCAGTCCCTGAGCACCTGGCGCTCTAGTAATGGTGACAGGACACAAGTCTGGTTTTGTTGGTGGTTTTTCCATAGGCCTCTTTCAGAAAGACTTCTTCCTTTTTAGAATAGTAAGGAGTAGGGATGACTTTAATCCAGGTGTCTTGCAATGAAGGCGAAAGACCCTAGTGAACATGTATACAAAAGCACTTCTTTCTTTTCCCTGATGGCTTGCAATCCCTGAGCCAAGAAGGACCCTGAAGAGTCGTAGGGTTTTGGAAGCCAATGGATCACCATGAAAGGTGTCAGTTCTAACAGCTGGAGAACTCACTGTTCTTAGCTGCTCTGAGCTACAGTTTTCTGATGGGCAAAATAACTAGGAGGAAAGTCTGACCTCCAGCCTTATGGAGTACACATTAGATATTAGGTTTGCCAAACCAGGAGCCAGAGCCATTGGCTCACACCTGTAATCCTAGCAACTTAGGAGGCTAAGATCTGAGGATCATGGTTCAAAGCCAGCATAGGCAGGAAAGTCCATGAGACTTATCTCCAATGAACCACCAGAAAACTGGAAGCGGTGCTGTGGCTCAAGTGGTAGAGCACTCGCCTTGAGCTGAATTGCTGAGGGACAGTGCCCAGGCCCAGAGTTCAAGCCCCACGACTGACAAAATAAAAAGATAGTAGGTTTGCCCACAAGTGTGTCAGTTGTAAGCCAACAAGAAGGACCAACAGTAGTAGCTTGGAGCCCATGCTTCTCAAATCCCCACATGCTGTCTGAAGTGAATGCCTCCCCCAGAGCAAGAAGTTTCTCTTGGCTGACGTCCGGTGATGCACCCCACCTCCCCCCGGGTTGCTCAGCTTCCCTGCTCTGCAAACCACAGACAGCCCGTAGTGTCCTCTAGACAGCTGGGACTGGTTCTGTCCTAGAAATGATGCCCCAAACCTTAGCACCTGTAAACAAGGCCACACAGAAAAAATGTGGGATGCCCTCCCTTCCCCCACATCTTCTGCCAGAGCAGACGCCATGCGTTCACATACGGTCTGGCAATGTACATGTGGTCGTGGAAAAAAGGAGGTAGAATCCAGACACTGGGGTTCTGGAACACAATATACTGTTTACTAAGTGCTAGTTACCTTTCCAAACATTTCAGATACATGTTCAAACTTCATGCCTGAAACACCACCGATTTATTACAGTTCTAGAGGTCAGAAGTTCAACATGGATCGCACTAGGGTAAACCCGTGGTGTCAGCAGAGTTGAATTCCTTCTGTAGCCTCCCAGGGAAATCTTCCAGGTTCTAAAACCAGGCTGCCAACAGCCCGTGGCCCCTCCCAGCATCCCGTTGCTCTGACACACTCCCACCTTCCCATCCCCCTCTTTGACTTAGCTCTCCTTCCTCCTTTTGCACAGTGAACGATCCTTGCTATTACACTGGTCTCCCTTGGGTAATCCAAGAGAACCACCTAGCTCAAGGCCTTAATCACAATTGCCGAGCCCCTATCGCCAAGTAAGGTAATGGTCACAGGTTCCAGGAATTAGGACAGGCATACACTTCATTGGAGAGCCATGTTCTACCTACCACTTAGTGACCCCTATTACAACTAAGAGATGGCATGTCTGTGTCATTATGTCCAGATAAGAAACTGAGGCGTGGGGAGGTTATGTAACTTGCTCAGGATCACACAGCTCTTAAGTGGCAGAGACGGGAATGAACGCTAAGAGGTCAGTAGAACCCTTGGTGACAAAGGCATGAGAGAGGGGGAGAGGCCTGGAGTCCAGCCACTCCCAGATTAGCAGACAGAGATGCCAGGTTCATTTCTAGAAAGCTAGGGAGTTTCCGATGGAGATGGTGAGGGGCATATTTCTGCCCTAGGTCCCAAGTCCAGAGACACAGATCTAGGTCCAGCCCTGCTTCTAACTCAGAGATGACAGAGGTTGAACAAACGCCTGCCACTCTCTTCAGCTCCTCATCCAGAAGACAGGGAATGGGGAGAGGCTGAAGCACCCAACCTCAAAGTTCCTCTTAGGGGCTGGGAAGGTGGCTCAGTGGTAGAGCGCTTGCCTTACATGTATGAGGCCCTGGGTTCGATTCCTCAGTACCACATAAGCAGAAAAAGCCAGAAGTGATGCTGTGACTCAAGTGGTAGAGTGCTAGTCTTGAGCTGCAGAGCTGAGGGACAGCGCCCAGGCCCAGAGTTCAGGCCCCATGACCAACCAAAAAACAAAACAAGTTCCTCTTAACTTGGGTTTCTCCCTGGGTGGGAGGGCCTAGACTTTCCTGAGCAGACATCAATCAACACACAGCACAGTGCAGGGCCTTCTTTTGATAGGTATGGGGGGGGGGGTTGTTTCTTAACATCCCTGTCCTGTGTGTGTGTGTGTGTGTGTGTGTGTTACTAGGGCCTTGTACTCTAGGCCCTAAGTACTCTACCACTTGAGCCACACCTCCAGGCTCCATTTTGCAGACTAGAAAGTGAAGCTCAAATAAATCACTGTCTCACACTCCTCCACCAAGGCAAATGCAACACACGCCAGTCCTCCTTCCCCAGCCTGCTAGTCCACGTGGGCTCCTGGACGACAGTAGGATTAAATGCTTCAGCTTTGGTTCTAAGACACTTTCTTTTCCTTCCTTCCTTCCTTCCGTTCTTTCTCTCTGTCCCCCTCCTCTTTCTCCTTCTCTCTCTCCCTTTCTTTTTTCTTCTTACTGCTTCGAAGTGAAGGGGTCCTGGTAGATCACAGGTGAGGTTGTGTTTGGAGCGGAACAGAGCAGTACCTGCAGGTGACACAATTAAAAGTGGGCAACCTTGTGTTGGCCTCCAGCGCTCCCATGGAAGCATCAGCCGGGCCCCCGAGCCACTGGGCTTCAGGTTCCCTTGGGTTTAGGGTCTGGGAGACCCGTGGAGGCTGCAGGGAATCGTGCCACGCCCCGAGGGCCAGCGCGAAGACCAATCCGGTGGGAGAAGGAGCAGGGGCAGGGCAGGCAGTGGCAGAACGGCTTCCTGGAAGATGGCGGAGGGGTGATGGGTGGAGGAACCGGTCACTTCCTAGCCTCCCCCCTGTTCTGAGGAACAGCGGCCCTCCACACATTCCCAATGGGGTGGGGAGAAGAAGGGGCTGAATGTAGCTGCTCCTCAAGCCCCACAACCCCTCCTCTCCTGCCCCCACCTGAACCCTTGACCCCCCGGCCTGCAGCCCCCGCAGTTTCCTGTTTGCCCACTCTGTTTGCCCAGCCCTGGGGACAGAGCTGATCCTTGAACTCTAGGTTCCACATGGCCAGCACTGGGGAGCAGTGACAGGGCTGGGGCTGAGCTTATCAGCCTTCCAGCCCAGCCCCTGCCTGGAGACATAAATAGGCCTGGGGAAGAACTGGACAGAGCGTTGGAGACGGTTAACAGAGCTCTAGGGAGGTGAGTGCTGCTACCTGCTCTGGGGTTCTCTGTACCTCCCCCCCTCCCCCCTCCAAGCACTTGAGACTGGGGGCCCTGGATACTCAGGGCTCTCCCCACTCCCAGCCCTTCCTCCTCCTGGTCTGGCTGGAATGAGGAGCTTCTCTATGACAGAGGCCCCCTTCAACCAGGCCCCTCTTCTCCTCCAGGTCGTGTCCAGCTTGCAGGATGAAAGCCGTGGTGTTGGCCGTGGCTGCGCTCTTCCTAGCGGGTAGGTGTCTCTCCTCTTGAGTCCAGCCGTGGGGGGAGCAATTCTAGCTCTGCTCTTGGGTACTGGGGGAATAGGATTCCTCACTAGTGCCCTCCCCACCCCTCTGTGCCGGCCACCTTGCAGCCGAGCTGGCCTGACCTGGGTGTATCTTTCCTTTCCCTCTGCTCCAGGGGGCGAGGCTCGGCATTTCTGGCAGCGAGATGAGCCCCAGGCGAGCCCCTGGGATAAAATTAAGGAGTTCACCACTCAGTATGTGGACTCGGTGAAAGACAGCGGCAGCGAATACCTGAAGCAGTTTGAAACCTCTGCCTTGGGAACACAGATGAAGTAAGACCCTTCCCCCCTCCCCCCCCCCGGGGGGCCAGGGACAGGCTGCTGGTTGCAGGGGGGTGGAGAGCGGGGCAGAGAAGCCAGTAGAAGAGAGGCTGTAGCCAGACTGGCCCCAGCCTTGCCTGCTGTTGGAGGAGCTGGCTCCCCAGCAGGGCTGGAAGGGGCCACCCAAGCTAGGTGAGCCAGGGCTAACTAAGCACAGCAGGGGATGGGGGCCACTGGCTTCAGAGACAATGGAGTGGTTTCTCAACACGGGGTACCCACCCAGCTCTATCCCCTGCTAGCTCCTCTGCACAGTGGGATGTGGCGGAAGAATGGGGTGTTGGGTGTCAGAATGTATGGGGGAAAGTAGGACTAGACCTACAGCCCACTCAGCGTCAGGGGATGCCCAGGGGTCACCCCAGGAAACCTAGGGCACCCGGGGGCCCCTGCAGATCGGAGCTGTCTGAGTCCTTGTCTCTCTGTGTCTGTGTCCCACTCCAGCCTGAAACTCACGGAGAACTTGGACACGTTGAGCTCCACCTTCAGCAAGCTGCGTGAGCAGCTGGGCCCGGTGACCCAGGAGTTCTGGCAGAATCTGGAGAAGGACACCGAGTGGCTGAGGCAAGAGATGAACAAGGACCTGGCGGACATGAAGCAGAAGGTGCAGCCCTACATGGAGCAGTTCCAGAAGACGTGGCAGGAGGAGGTGGAGCGCTACCGCCAGAAGGTGGAGCCCCTGAGCACGGAGCTGCGCGAGGGCGCGCGCCAGAAGCTGCAGGAGCTGCAGGAGAAGCTGGCGCCGCTGGGCGCCGACCTGCGCGACAGCGCGCGCGTGCACGTGGACGCGCTGCGCACGCAGCTGGCGCCCTACAGCGAGCAGATGCGCGAGCGCCTGGCCGAGCGCCTGGCCGCGCTCCGGGACAGCCCCAGCCTGGCCGAGTACCAAGCCAAGGCCCACGAGCACCTCAAGACCCTGCACGAGAAGGCCCAGCCCGCCCTCAGCGACCTGGGCCAGGGGGTGCTGCCCGTGCTGGAGAGCCTGAAGGCCACTCTCGTGGGTGCCATCGAGGAGGCCTCCAAGAAGCTCAGCTCCCAGTGAGGCCCAGGCGCCCGCCCCCCAGCCCCGCCCCAGCGCACCCCACCCCACCGCGTTTGCTTTCTTACAATAAATGTTTCCAGAATGGGAAGCAGCTTCTCTCCCTGGGGGGAACCAGTGGTCGTGGGGGCGAGGGACACGCAGTGGGAGATCTGGGGTGAAGGGCTGGAGGAGGGACTCCCTGCCCGAGGCTCAGCTGGGCCCTGCACGGACCCTGTCCTAAGCAGGCGTCCATGGAAAGGAGATGGCAGAGGGTCAGGCAAAGAAGCCGAGTCACCCAGCGCCCCGCGCCCGCCTTGCAGATCGAGGGTCTGGAACTAGGGCTGGCCCCGCAGGAAGAAAATTCCCTGTCTCAGAAGTGATCTGGGGACCCTGAGCTCAGGGAGGTGGCCACCAGCCTCTGCCAGCTCTTTAGAGCTGGGGGGCTGGGGTCCCCAAGGAGCCACTGGGACTTGAAGGATTTGGGCAAATGTAAATGAAATGCCTTCTTTATTCCAAAAACCTCTTCAAAACTCAGCACCAGTACACACACACACACACACATTTAGGGAAGCCTACTGGCCTGAGCCAGGTGCCAGTGACTCACGCCTATAATCCTAGATACCCAGGAGGCAGAGAACTGAGGATTGCGCTTCAAAGCCAGCCTCGGTAGCAAAGTCTGTGACACTCTTATCTCCAGTGAACCAGCAAAAAGCTGGAAGTGGAGCTGTGGCTTAAGTGGCACTGTTTCACCTCCAAGACGCCTGCATACCATCATGTGTCTTATTGCTCCCTTGCCCCAAATCCTGAGTAGACTGCTATTAGAGCTATGTTGCCGGCGGAAAGCCGAAGCGTGGAGGTGTGCAATTGCTCACGGAATGCAAGGCAGGATGGGCCTCTGTGATGATGATGATGTGTGTGTGTGCACGCATGAGTATGTGCAAGCATGTTCGCATGCCAAATCCCTGCTCAGAGCCCACCCCTCCCCCATCATGCTCACGTCTGTGTGTTCCTGTGTGCATCCACATCTGGCAGAGCACCCGGCGTGTCCCCTCCCCACGAAAACCTCTTGGCCCGTGTGTGGGCCTTTGCCTGTGCCTCCCGGTCTCCATCTCCAGTGTATACAAGTGGGCTTTGTAGTTCTTAGTTGTTCAGAGCTAAAGCATGTGTCAAACCGGATTTGTTGGGGGGTGGGAGAGATTTCCCAGGTGTGAGGGCTGAGACCCTGGCCCAGGCAGGTTTCCAGGAGGAAAGCCGTCTCCAGCTGGGGCACTAATGCCGTCAGGATCTAAGAGGGGCACGCAACCCCTGGGTAAGGGGAGTTGCTTTCCTCAGTGCCAATAGAACATGGGCCTCAGCCTCAGCTCTGCAGCACGGAGTAAGTGCCTTCACCTCTCTGTATCCCGGCATTTCATCGGAGAGCGGGGAGTCTGCTCTGTGGGCATGGCACTGTCTGGTGTGACCATCTGCTGGGTGGTGGGGACAAGGGACAGCCAGCTGGGGCGACTCCATGTTCCTTCTTGGTTCCAAGGACACTGGGCACAGGCAGCGCAGCCCTGGTCTCAAGGACACTCTCTGTGCCACGATACCAGTGAGGACCGTGTACCAGGTACCTTGGAGGCACCACGTGCAATTAAACACCGAGTCATTTCATTTGCACAACCCTCCTGCAGCAGCGGGGGCATCCACGTGCACGCTTAACAGGTCAGAAACTGAGGCAGGCACAAAGTGGTGAAGCCATCACCAGAGCCTCATTGGGTCTTACTCCAGCCTTCGCTCCATCTACCTCCTTCCTTCGAGTGTGCTTAAGAGGTCGGGCAGCCAGGGTAGAGCAAAGCTAGCTGCTCAGTGTTGGAGGACTCACGATCTCAATGCCAAGATTGACATAAAAGTGCCAGCCTGGCACACAGCACACAGTGTAGCCACGGACACTTTATTGTAGTGTCTATCAGCAAGTCTGCCATCCCTCTTTTTTTTTGTCGGTCATGGGGCTTGAACTCTGGGCCTGGGTGCTGTCCCTCAGCTCTTCAGCTCAAGGCGAGCGCTCTACCACTTGAGCTACAGAGCCACTTCCGGTTTTCTGGTGGTTTATTGGAGATAGGAGTCTCACGGTCTTTCCTGCCCGGGCTGGCTTTGAACCGCGATCCTCAGATCTCAGCCTCCTGAGTAGCTAGGATTACAGGCGTGAGCCACCAGCACCCGGCTCTGCCATCCCTCTTGATGGCTTTAACAGTCATTCTGCTCTGACAGATGAAGAAACTCGGGCCTTGAGCCCTCTCCCACACCCCAGCTGCTGAGCATGGCCCCCCAAAAACAGCCACAGAAGCAGCCTGGCTCATTCTCACACCGGAACACACATGGCACGCATGGGACACGCACTTGTGGCAGCTTCTCACGTGTGTTTATTGGGGGCAGCCTGCCTGGAGGTGGGCCGGGGGTTCTGACAATACTGCCCCTCTCCAGCTACCCCAGGGGCAGCCCGCGGGCTGCAGGACCCAGCGTTGCGGGCAGGAAGGGTGGGTGGATGGACGGACGGACACGGAGCGTGCTGGTGTCAGGCGATGTCAGAAGCTGGGGTTGGCTGAGCCTCCGGAGTGGAATCCCAGAACCCAGAGAACTTGCCGGCGAACGTGCTCCAGTAGTCTTTCAGGGAGCTGAGCCCACCGTTCATCCAGCCCCTGGGGGTCAAGAGGAGGCCACAGGGATGGGCAGGGGGGGTGCATCTGCAGGCAGTGGGGCACACAGCCCCTGGTTCTCCTGCCCCCCCATCTCCTAGCAACGTCCTGAGACATTGGGCAGGAAGCACCTAGACAAAGGGTGACCGCATGCTTCTCCACGCTGCTCCCCCCGCCCCGCCCTAACCACGGCCGTTCTGTGGCCCCAAGTGAAGGCCGGGAGGGCAGGGAAGGGCAGGGCCGCCACCGGCAGTCCAGGCGTCCCCATGGGCTGGGGCTGCCAAGGGAGGCAGCCTCTCCTTTAGAACATCTCTGGAGGATTCTTGAGCTCTGTGAAGCGGGCTAGGTCACTTCACCTCTCTGAGCCTCAATAGACTCATCTGTAAAGTGGAGGAAATCAGGGCCTCCCCAGCCCTGGGGACTGAGAACACGCGTAAGAACATGTCAGCCATGGCTACGCGGGGCAGTGGAGTCGGGGGGGGGGGGCGGGGGCGCCAGACTGCAGGCTCACGAACAGAGGCTGTGCAAGCAAGGTCAGACTCCCCGTAGCACAGGTCAGGATTGAAGGAGGCACAGCCCATCCCAGCAACCAAGGCGACAGGTGGGGGGTGGGGGCGCGTGGGGTTCCCAGAGCACACCTCCGGCCCCGTGCTCAGGGAGCAAGTGGGGAGGACTGAAGAGCCACCTTGGGGCTGCACGGGGCAGAAGTGGAGGGCGGGGGGGGGCGAGGCAGAGATTCCCCCTCAGCCTCCTCCCTGCAGCTCTGCACAGCTCCGAGGTATCCGGACGGAGGCCCAGAGACGCTCGGGGAAGCCTGATTGCATCATCAGAGCCTCGTCTGGGCAAGGATGGGGCGGTGGGGGGGACTGAGGAGCTGGCACGGAGCATGGAAGAGAGGCCCGTGGCATACCTGGCCTGCTCTGCCATCGGGTACTCCTTCATGCTGGTCAGTGCGTCCTGGGCGGTCTTAGTGGCGTGATGCACGTAGCCCTGCATGAAGTCAAGCAGGGAGGCGCTTTCTGCCTCCGTAGCTCCTGTGAGGAGAGCAGGTTGAGCGGGGGTGCATGTACCTCCACACTCCTCGGGACTCCCTTCCCAATCAGGGTGCAGGGTCCCCAAGCCCCCCCACAACCCAGGCCCCACAAAGTACTTACGGGCAGAGGCCAGGAGTGCCAAGAGAGCCAGAACAAGGAGCACCCGGGGCTGCATGGCGTCACCAATCCTGCAGGGACGAGTCTTGGGTGGGACACCCTGTGATAGAGACCCCGAGGATCCCCCTCTCCCAATGCCCTCCCTGGGGAGCGGTGCGGCCCCTAGATGGAGCCTGGGGGAGGGCTTGGGGAACCTCCTCCCCCCAAGGCTCTGGGAGGACTGGGGGAGCCCTGGAGGGCATCAGCAGGAAAACCCTGCAGGATGGAACAGGAGGCCCTGGGGCCGGGGTCTGGCCTGGTCGCTGCTCTCTCACACGCTTCCCCCTCAGCCCTCAGCTGCCCTGTCTGGGGTAGGATGGTCATGGAGATGGCTTCTCCCGGCCATGAGCATGCCCAGTGAGGGGCAGCGTGCAGCTGGTGATTCCCGTCCCCTCCCAGCTTCGGGCAGTGACCTCCCCTTCCTGGGCCTCTGTTTTCTCGAGGGCACCATTGGGCCAGAGGGATCCTCGTGGAGCCCAGAGGCCTCCTTGGCTCTGGCAGGCTGTGTTCTGGGCTGGCTGGCTGGGCATGGGGGGGGGTCTTCTCTGTCCCCTCCCTCCTATTCTCCCCAGGGACATTACCTGGCGAGGCTGCTTGCAGGGATAGACTGGGTAGGCCGGGCAAGAGGACTCCGACTGTTTTATATTGCTCCTTGGACAGGGGGTACTGAGGGCCCGGGGAGCTGGACAAAGGTCACGGCTGAGCAGGGGAGCCAGGCCAGCCGGCCCATGTTGCCAACAGCGTTGAGAAATCCCTGCAGACTCCCTGTGCCGCCTCCCCTGCCAGCCACGGGCAGATGGGCTGCGCCTTGGGTGGGGGGGCGGGGGCAGGAGGGCGCCCTGGGGGACTTCCACGGGGCTGGTGAGGAGCACCCGGGGGCCCTCTTGGCCTGGTACTTGAGTTTTCAGGGCCCAGCCCAACCCCTCCTCACAGCCAGCAGGGGGCGCTGCCTCAGACTCGAGAGCCACTGGGTGGACAGGGCCAGGGGCATTGGGGGTAAAGGCACAGAGAAGCAGGGGCAGGACCGCTTAGGGGAGGCCACACAGCCGCGCTCACGAAGCCTGCCCCCACCTGCAGCACCCCCACTTCAGCCTCCATCCCTGCCGCCTCCTCCAACGCTGAGCCAGGGCAGGGGTTGGTAGGAGAAGGGCAGAGGCCAAGCTGACTCTTGGACCTTTGACCCTCCCACCTCCCCAGTGCCTCAGCTTGCCCTCTGGACCCGCTGATAACACCCAGGCAGGAGCTGGGCTCATGGCTGGAGCTGATTGTCTCCCCCCTGGCCTCAGTGTGGCACCCACAGCCTTGGGGTGGGGTGGGGTGGGGGGAGGGGGGAGGGCAGGGGGTGGTGAGGCCAGTCCCGGGGTGGGGAACAGAGTTTCTGTGAGAGGCAGTCAGCCGTCCAGGCCCCACAAAGGGCCCCGTCAGGATGGCGGTTTCAGGGGACATTGTCTTCTGGAGCCAGAAACCCTCAGTTTATCATTTGTTTAATTAATTCATTTATTTATGTATGGCTGCACTGGGATTTGAACTCAGGGCCTTGTATTTGCTAGGCCCATTTGAACTGTACCTCCAGTCCCCAAATCTCCTCACTTTCCTCTCCTGTCCCAGCGTGTTTCTTACCCTAGAGTCCAAGGGCACCGTGGGGTTCAGCTCCCAGGCTGGGGTGTAAGCCAAGGTTCCTGGCCCTGTGCATGCAGAGAAGGGCTGACTTGGTTGTTTTCCATCTGTGTGGAGGCCTTGGAGAACCTGTCACCTCCCCTGCACAACCCAGGGCCACCGAGCCCAGGAGTCCAGAAAGTACAGGCAGAAAGGCCACTGAGCTAGGTGGAGACTCCGGTGTGGGCTGGGACGGGTCTCCCCCATTGCTGGTAGCAGGGGTCACTCCTGGACCCTGACCCGAGCTGCCCTGGTACCCACTGCTCCCCTCCGGAGGCAGACCCAGAACCTGGGAGGAGAGGCCGAGGGTGGGGAAGGGAAGCGCTCTGATCAGCGGTAGCCCGGCCTGGCCTCTGGTGAGCGGGGCCTCTGCTCCTATCCAGGGGAGGCTGAGCACACGCGTCCCTGGGATCCAGGCTCCTGCCAACACCTCGTGCAGCCTCAGCCCTCCGCTGTGCCTCTGTGGAACGGAAGTTCCTCCTAGTAGCCCACTCAGGTCTTTGCTGTGGTGAGGTGCCCAGCCCCTGTGGAGGGGGCAGGAGGGAGGAGGGGGCCTGTCTAGCCTCACCAGCCAGGAGGTCTGCTTGAGCACAGACAAGGAGACGGAGGCTGGGAGAGGAATGGGTGGATTCTGAAGATCACAGGCCCTTTGTGTGTGCTGTCCCCTGAGCGCAAGCCTGCCTAGAAGGCGGCCATGAGCAGTGCAGACCCTTGGCTCTCCTCCTGGCCCCACCTCTGATACAAATCACCTGCAGATGGATTCCCAGCAGGCCCCCAGCTTGAAAATACACGTGCATGGGCAAACTGGCGCCACCCCTCCCCGGGCCCTGCTGGCAGCTGAGTTATTTGGGGGTGCCCGTGACTCTGTCTTCTTGCTGGCGGTGCTCTGGGGTGCGCTCGGATGGCACAGGTGGGTACAGTTGGGCAAGCCGGTGAGACAGAAGCACCTCAACCCGTGTGACCAGCACCCGCTGCCCAGACTGCAAGTCTGGAAGGTCAAGCTGCAGCCGTGTGACTCATTCTTAGCTGGGGGCCTTTGCACCCAGTTCAGGCCGAACTGTGCTCATTTGACAGCAAGATGATGACCGATGGGTCAATGTTACAAGGAAGCGAGCTTTCATGAGTACAAACATGGCTGATGTTCAGGGAACACCTACTGTGCACTGAGGGCAAGCGTTACACAGCTTATCTCACCAGATCCTCGCAGCCTGGAAACTGAGGCTCAAGAGGTTACAGAACTTGACCCAGGTCAGGGCTGGGAAGGTGGCTCAGTGGTAGAGCGCTTGCCTTGCATGCCTGAGGCCCTGGGTTCGATTCCTCAGCACCACATAAGAAAAAAGCTGGAAGTGGCGCTGTGGCTCAAGTGGTGGAGCGCTAGCCTTGAGCTGAAGAGCTGAGGGACAGCACCCAGGCCCAGACTTCAGGCCCCACGACCGGACCCAAAAAAAAAAAAAAAAGTAAAAAGAACTTGCCCCAGGTTGGGCAAGTGGAGCCCACAGACAAACACGGGAAGTCATCACAAAGCCGTCATCTCCTGGCAAATGAGACTTAGCACTCTTGTGGCCCATTCTCCTGGCTTTTGTTCTACAAATGACTGGACGTCCCGGGCAGGCCCCGCGTTGCGCTCGGGGCCACGTCCAGCAAGGCAATCTAACCTAACAGAGGCGGCATCACTTAGGTGGGCCGTCCGGGCTGACTAAGGGGTGCCACCTTCTCGGTGGGTCTCACCGCATTTGGAGCTGCTGCAAAGAGTCTAATCACAGAGAGTGCCCTGAGCCGCTCCCGCCTGACTTGGGGGGCGGAGGGAGCAATTGGGCTTCATGCTGGTGACTTTCCAAGGGCAAAGGCCTCAGCCTGCTCCTTTCTGGAGGGCAGGGTTATTTCATTGTGCTCCTGGCTTTGGTCAAATCGGGACAACATTACTGTTATTTATTATTTATTAATTACCTAGCTATCTGGGAGGCTGAGGTCAGGAGGAGCGTGATGTAAGGCCAACCCAAGCAGAAAAGTCACAAGACCCCACAACCACAGGTGGGTGTAGCGGCTGAACGCTTCACCCCAATCTACCTAAGGGGCCCAGACTGGGAGTACCATGCTCCCAGGTAGGCCAGCCTGGGGAAGGAAAGTCTGCAAGGTTCTACTTCGATGGACGGAAGCCGGATGAGGGTTTACATGGGATCTCAGCAGTGACAGGAAGTCTAAAGTAGCCCCAGGAGCCCCACTCCTGAAATTAGAACCCTCCTCCCCTATCTTCAAAACAACTAGCAAAATGCAGGGCTGGAGGCATGGCTCAAGCAGTAGAGTGCCTGCCAAACAAGCACAAGCTCCTGAGTTCAAATCCCAGTACTGTCCTAAATAATCAGCCCTGTGGGCCCCCACTTTGAAAGCACTATCTCATTTCAGGTACCAAGGACGCAGTGTCCACAGGTGACACAAGCTGACAGTGTGATGCCCCCTCACCTCCCGCCCTCCCCCTCCCCCTCCCCCCTCCTCCCTGCCCCCCACCTGAGAGGCAGCCCAGCCCTTCTTTTTTTTTTTGGTCGGTTGTGGGGCTTGAACTCTGGGCCTGGGCGCTGTCCCTCAGCTCTTCAGCTCAAGGCGAGCGCTCTACCACTTGAGCTACAGCGCCACTTCCGGTTTTCTGGTGGTTTATTGGAGATAGGAGTCTCACGGTCTCTCCTGCCCGGGCTGGCTTTGAACCGCGATCCTCAGATCTCAGCCTCCTGAGTAGCTAGGATTACAGGCGTGAGCCACCAGCGCCCGGCTAGCCCAGCCTTCTTGCTCTTAGCTCAGCGGGGGAGGGCCGGGGCCGTCTCCATATCTCCAGAGGAGACTTGGCCCTTGTTCCTCTAGCCTGGCACAAACCCAGAGCTGCTGGTAGAGCCTTGGGGCATCAGTCCTGGCTCAGGGGCTTCCCTGGGCCCCCTAAGCCTTGTTTGTCTGGCGGCCTCTGGCTCTCCTTCCTGTCCTCCTCCACAGGGTGGGGCTCCGGATGTTTCCCACTGCTGTCTGAGCCCCAGGCTTGGCTTCCACGTAGTCAGTCTTAGGGTCACTAAAGTCCAAGAGGCCTCCTGGGAATGTGTCACCTTCCAGCGTGGAATCACACTGGAGAGGAGGCGGGGAGGGCAGGCCGGAGGGGCTTTAAATGCGGGGCTGGCTCCCAGCTCAGACACATACCGATAGTCACCGGTGAGCTGCTCGCTTGAGGACCTCTCTCCAGCGTCCCCTGACAGCAGTGCAGCGTGATCCTTCAGCCCAGCCGGGAGCCCACCATGTTCCTGAAGGCTGTGCTGCTGCCCCTGGCCCTGGTGGCTGTCACCGGTGAGTAGAAGCTGTCTTTGCTTGGGACTTTCAGACCCCCATCATGGGGGAGGGGGTAGAGAGGCCCAGCCAAGGCCAGAAGACAACACCGGGGGCCCAGCCGCTCCAAGACGGAGCCGAGGACTGGTGGAGTGGGAGAGTGGGCCCAGGCCTGGCTCCCCGGCTAAGCCCGGGGAGGGACACACGTTGGGCCGGGAGCAGCTGGGAGCTGCTATGGAGAAGCCAGGAAAGCCGTCGGACCTCAACAAACTGCTTTCTGTTCTATGCCCAGGGGCCCGGGCAGAGGTCAGCCCGGACCAGGTGGCCACTGTGATGTGGGACTACTTCAGCAAGCTAAGCAGCGATGCCAAGGAGGCTGTGGAGCAGCTGCAGAAGTCAGAACTCAGCCAGCAGATCAGGTAAGGGGCATGGCCCACCAGGCACGCCAGCGGCCGGCCGGGGCTGAGCGTGAGCACCACCCCAGTGCTCACCAGACGCACCGCCCGGCCACTGCCTTCCAGAGAAAAGCTGGGGACTCACAGGTGCCATTGAACGGCCCCTATGGTGTCCTCCTGTCTGCATGAGTTCAACAAATGCCACTTCCTGTCATGGAGGCCGGGGAAGGGGAAGGACCAGGCGAGTTGGCCTCTAGAGCACAGGCACCTGAGCTATCAGGAGAAGCGACACTGGAAAGCCACTGAGTACAAGAAGGAAACGCCGGGGCTGGGAAGGTGGCTCAGTGGTAGAGCGCTTGCCTTGCATGCCTGAGGCCCTGGGTTCAATTCCTCAGCACCACATAAGCAGAAAAAAGAAAGCCAGAAGTGGCGCTGTGGCTCAAGTGGTAGAGCGCTAGCCTTGAGCTGAAGAGCTGAGGGACAGCACCCAGGTCCAGAGTTCAGGCCCCACAACCAGACCCACCCCCCAAAAAAAGAAGGAAAGACCATGTGATCCAGTGGATCTGGGCTGATAGGGACATCAAAGTCCAATCCTTACTGGAGAGTCAAGGAGGGGATGGGACCGGCGACCATTGACCGGCTTAGGTCACATGATAGTAGATAAGGACACTCAAGCACAGAGTGAGCGTCAGCGATTCAAATCCAAAGCAATAAGCAGGGGCCAGAGCAGCGCCTTCAAATCTGTGACTCTGGGCAGGGCCACGAGGGAAGAGGGGGACAGACTTGGTACCCATGAACACTCACCTGTCCTAAGCAGAGGGTTGTGTAAGTGGGCAAGGTCCTCCTACTTAGTGCCAGGTGTGATGGCAGCGCTCTGTGCCCTTTCCCTCAGCACCCTCTTCCAGAACAATCTTGGGGATGTGAGCACCTACGCAGATGACCTACAGAAGAAGCTGGTGCCCTTCGCCACGAAGCTGCAGACACGCCTGGTCAAGGACTCGGAGAAGCTGAAAGAGGAGTTTCAGAAGGAGCTGGAAGACCTACGTGCCCGCCTGCAGCCCCATGCCGACAGAGTGAGCGAGAAGATCGGAGACAACGTGCGTGAGCTACAGCAGCGCTTGGAGCCCTTGGCCATCCAGCTGCAGACGCAGGTGAACACGCAGGCCGAGGAGCTGCAGCGCCAGCTGGCCCGGTACGTGCAGCAAATGGAGACGGCGCTGCGTGAGAACGTGGACAACCTGCAGGCCTCGGTCACGCCCTACGCCAACGAGTTCAAGACCAGGATGGACAAGAACGTGGAGCAGCTCAAGGGACAGCTCATGCCCCATGCCAATGAGCTCAAGGCCAAGATTGACCAGAGCGTGGAGGAGCTGCGCCACAGCCTGGCTCCGTATGCCCAGGATGTCCAGGAGAAGCTCAACCACCAGCTCGAGGGCCTGGCTTTCCAGATGAAGAAGAACGCCGAGGAGCTCCAGGCCAGGATCTCGGCGAACGCCGAGCAGTTCCGCCACAAGCTGGCGCCCATGGTGGACAACGTGCACAGCCAGCTGACGGGAAACGCCGAGGGGCTGCAGAAGTCGCTGGCAGAGCTGAGCAGACACCTGGACCAGCAAGTGGAGGAGTTCCGGCGCAACACCGAGCCCTACCGGCAGAGCTTCAACCAAGCCTTGGTGCAGCAGATGGAACAATTCCGGCAGAAGCTGGGCCCCTACACGGGGGACGTGGAAGGCCACTTGAGCTTCCTGGAGAAGGACCTGAGAGACAAGGTCAACTCCTTCTTCAACACCCTGAAGAAAGAGAGCCAGGACCAGTCCCTGGCCCTCCCCCTCCCGGAGCAGGTGCAGGAACAGGTGCAGGAGCAGGTGCAGGAGCACGTGCACCCAGCCACCCTGGAGAGCTGAGCTGCCCCTGGTGTCCTCACACTGCAGGCAACTGTCCTGCCCCGATACCTGTGCCTGACTATCAGCCTGTTCCCACCACCGCAGACACCTGTCCTGCCCCGATACCTGTGCCTGACTATCAGCCTGCTTCCACCCCTGCAGAATTCTGTCCTGCCCCGATACCTGTGCCTGACTATCAGCCTG